TCAAGTGCCACTATTATCCACAAAATCCAATCAACTATATTTGATTTATTACATATATGCTTTTAATAATAATTATGGAAGAAATCTTGTACCTGGTACATTTAACTGATGTCATTCAAGTGCTCACCTCTTATTAGCTGAAAAACAGCAGTTAACCCTAACATGAGCTACTGCATCTGTAGTTATCCCATTTCTGAACTAGTGATGGGTCAATCATGAATGATTTGTTTTGAGTCTTCATATTTTGAAGAATATGATCAAAGTTTGCTTAAGTAGACGTGTTGTGGAACTCGTACTTAATGTGATAACATCTAGGTTATTGGGGGTGCCACAAGGCTCAGTGCTTGAACCTATGCTTTTCTTGATATACACAACCTCATTGGGCACTATCATAAAAGCTACTTCTATTATGACTTCTACACAGATGATACACAGTTTTAAAAGTGAAAGTGATGTGACGTAGCCAAGTGTGGTGTCCCATATACTCAGAATTTGTGCTCTGCATTTAACCCATCCAAGTGCACACACACACACACACACACACAAGCTATTTGGTAGCTTAGCCTAAAATGAAACTATGCTAAGTCGTGTTAGCTTAGCTGCTTCATGGTTTGTTTACAACATGGTGTTTTGTGCTATGTGAAGTTAGCACTTCCTGTGACAAGTTGTTGTAACGGTAACCAATGCATGCCAGTGTAATTAACGCAGTTTAATGTCTGTCTATGTTAAACAGTCATAGTTTTAGAACGTGGTGCTTTCAACCTTCAAGACTTGTTGCATTACATTAGCACTTCGGTGAGTGCTTCTCTAATGCAAACAAAATTAGTGTGTCAGATTGGTCGAGACGCTACATAAACCAAAAGGAAACTAACTTAATTCAAGTATAACCCTTTAAGAGAACAGTAAAAATCACTATACCTGTTATTGGGTAAAATAAGCATTTATTTACACAAGTACTTACATGTCCTTGTTTGTATCACATACATCTCCCACCAAATCGTTGTCCATATCTGACTGCAAAAACAGTAAAATATGGAAATGAATCATTGAATTCATATTTGAAAAGCAGGGTGGCTAGAGTACCTGTCTCTTTGCCTTCACTGACTCAAGTGCCACTATTATCCACAAAATCCAATCAACTATATTTGATATATTACATATATGCTTTTAATAATAATTATGGAAGAAATCTTGTACTTGGTACATTTAACTGTCATTCAAGTGCTCACCTCTTATTAGCTGAAAAACAGCAGTTAACCCTAACATGAGCTACTGCATCTGTAGTTATCCCATTTCTGAACTAGTGATGGGTCAATCATGAATGATTTGTTTTGAGTCTTCATATTTTGAAGAATATGATCAAAGTTTGCTTAAGTAGACGTGTTGTGGAACTCGTACTTATTGTGATAACATCTGGGTTATTGGGGGTGCCACAAGGTTCAGTGCTTGAACCTATGCTTTTCTTGATATACACAACCTCATTGGGCACTATCATAAAAGCTACTTCTATTATGACTTCTACACAGATGATACACAGTTTTAAAAGTGAAAGTGATGTGACGTAGCCAAGTGTGGTGTCCCATATACTCAGAATTTGTGCTCTGCATTTAACCCATCCAAGTGCACACACACACACACACACACACTGTGAACAAACACCTGGAGCAGTGGGCAGCCATTTTTGCTGCGACGCTCGGGGAGCAGTTGGAGGTTCAGTGCCTTGCTCAAGGGTCTCATCTCAGTTGTGGTGTTGAGGGTGGAAGAGAGCACTGGTCATTCACTCCCCCCACCTACAATCCCTTCCGGTACCGAGACAACCCTACCTGCAATGGATCGTTGACCTCAGGACAGCTGTCACAGGCATCGCCCACACCATCTCCATCTCGGTCAGTCTGCATGGGATTGGGTATCTTAGGACAGTTATCCAACACGTTAGGGATGCCTGTAAAAAAATCAAGTGGTGAGAACAAATAATGTGGTACAATGCCGTAAAACCACAGAACAGTTAAAAGTGAATGGGACTGACCATCTCCATCAATATCATTGTCACAGATGTCTCCCTTGCCATTGCCATCAGTATCAAGCTGATCTCCATTGGGAACGTTTGGGCAGTTATCACAAGCATCGCCATAGGAGTCTGTGTCAGAGTTCTGCTGGTCCTTATTAGGCACCAGACGACAGTTGTCCTGGATACATGCAAAATTAATATAGCTACTGCTTAGAATCTGCCCCATAGACAATTAATTTCTAAATAATAAAAAAATAATTTTCAAGTACACCAGCCCAGGTGTAAACAGTTTGGCATTGAATGCTTGTTCAAATATTTTTACAATTCTTCACCACTTGATCAGTAACCTCAACATTTTTAATTCCATCTCCATCTGCATCCTCATCACACTGATCACCAATTCCATCTCCATCTGTGTCCTCTTGCCCAGAGTTTGGGGTATTTGCACAGTTGTCCTGCACAGGGATATTCAAAGTATTATTCAATTTATTATTATTATTATTCAAGGGATAATAAATTGTATATGCATATTATACCAAAATGATTATCCTAACCGAAATTAAAGTATATATGTTTTTGCTGATGGAAAACGGTCATCAGTTAAGCAGAAAACCATTCAAAGGGTTGTAAATAATGAATTGGCTAAAATGGGGCAAATTTAGTAAACAGTCATGCCACTTTTTAATGCATAAAACCTACTTGCAATCCAATGTATTAGGTGCTATTTGGACCGGTATTACGCTGCAACATGCAATTCATTCTTAGTGAATTTCCCTCCTAAAAACTGAGTATGTACCGCTCTGCAGTGTTTGTCGTTGTCAATGCATGGAAGAGGGCCATCTGGGTAACCATCAATGTCTGAATCTGGACCACAAATGTTACCATTACCTGCCCAGCCGATGTTACACTGGAAGACATAAAATGGAGAGAAAGATCAGCTATATGGACAATTCCTGGTTGTTCTTTTTTCAGTTTTTGAAAGAATTTGTTGTCTCAGTTAAGAGCTGCATATGTTTTAAATACAAATGAATGATTTTGCATTCAACATTTCCAGGTTGGAAATTGTCTGGATTTACTATGAAGTTTTTAGAGTTTTTATATTCTCACCACACAGGAAATGTCACTGTTGCGGCCCATCACACAGTGTGCATTCACACCACAGGGCTTATAGCCCAGAGTTTCACACGTCCTGCTTACAAAACAGCCTGCAGTCTGATTACCAACAAATCCTGCTTTACACTGGCCACACTTGAACGATCCCTATGAAAAGAGAGCCTTCCGTTACATTAGTACATTCACATTTCATTGCTTATGGCTGCTATGCAACTTGCCGGTTCTAGTGTTTATTATTTATATGCAAATTTAGACAGTTTACTCACCACTGTATTTATACAGACTGAGTTGGGCACACAGGCACCAAAGTGCTCAGTACATTCATCAATATCAATACAGTCCTGAAAAATAAACAACATTCACAGAGTAAAAGACTATTCACTTCAAAGTAAAATTATGTTGTAATTAGATTGACACATTTTACCTGCTTGAGGCTCTTGGCAAACTCAAAACCCACCCCCCCGAGTGTTGGACCGGTGAATCCTATGGGACAGGACTCACAGGTGAAGCCTTTAGCTGTGTTCACACACAACTCTGCAGAGAAACAGGGCTGAGCGGTACACTATGACAAAGACAGATATTGAGAGAGAAAAGGAAAATTGTATTGAATTGTTTTAAATGTACACTTGTAGCGTACTTCAAATATAATATTAATGAAATAAAAGGCTACTTACAGAGAACTTACAGAGATTACACTTTTATGTTTCTTAACACATCTAAAAAGTGCACTTTGTAATAATGTCAAATTAAGTTTTACTGTTGTAAATACAGTTTTTATCTGTTGTCGTGATTTAAAGAAATACACTTATTTTGATGTGTTGACTAACATACTAAAGCACACGTAAAGTACTTTTTTAAAGTAATTTTAATGGTTATATTCAATATTACATTTATAGTTATATTTTAAACATACTAAATTGCACCTTCATTGTTACAAATGTGTAATTACAAGCATATTTAAATGCATGAAATACAATTACTATAAAATACATTAAAGTATATTTTGGTTTTTCATAAATGCTTGTCAGTACATTCAGCAGTGCACTTTAACCATATTTCAAAGAAAATAGAAATAATTATGAAATTACATATAAAGATGTACTTAAGTCCTAATTAAGTGGATCAAAAAAGCACTCAGCTAATTGCATTTATTATAATATAGTATAATTCAATTGCAATTAACAGGCAATACAGTGTCTAAACACATTACACTCAATTTGCATACAAGTATATTCTTTTAAAGTTCATTATTTCATTATTTAATTAATAAGTACTCATTTTAAAAGTATGCTTAAAGGGTTAGTTCACCCAAAAATAAAAATTAGCTTGTTATTTACTCCCCCTCAAGCCATCCTAGGTGTATATGACTTTCTTCTTTCAGACGAATCCAATTGGAGTTATATTAAAAAATGTCCAGGCTAACCCATGCTTTATAATGGGAGTGGATGGTAGCCCAAAATTTGAAGTCGAAAAAACTGCACCCATCCATTATAAAAGAAGTCCACACGGCTCCGGGGGGTTAATAACGGCCTTCTGAAGCGACGCAATGCATTTGTATATAACTTTATAAACCTTTATCCCTAGCTTCCGCTAACTGCCATACGCGCATTCACGAGAGTGGCGTACAGCGGATGACGTAAGACGTAGGCAAATGCAATGACGAACGCGGAAGTGACGAACGTGGAAGCGCAGAGGAGAGAGCGAAACAAAACACCGGTCACGAATTAGTAGTACAAAACGAGGATTTGTAAAGAAAAATGTCGGAGGATTTCAATATAAGCCAAGAGGAGACTGGTTTTCCTTTGCTGTAAACAAAACTTGTTTCTCGCGAGACTAGCGTATTCTCACCGGAGCTTATGCTACGCCTATGTCTTACGTCGTCTGCTGGACGCCACTCTCTCGTGAACGCACGTACAACAGTTAGCGGAAGCTAGGGATTAAGGTTTATAAAGTTGTAAATATGGATATTTTTCTTACACAAACGCATCGCGTCGCTTCAGAAGCCCTTTATTTACCCCCCGGAGCCATGTGGAATTCTTTTATGATGGATGGGTGCAATTTTTTTTTACTTCAAATTTTGGGCTACCATCCACTCCCATTATAAAGCATGGATTAGCCTGGGCACTATTTAATATAACTCCGATTGTATTCGTCTGAAAGAAGAATGTCATATACACTAGAGACCTGCACGGGACGGATTTTTCCGTCCCGCTCCCGCAAGATTCTGTCCCACGCCCGCCCGCTCCTGCAGAAATATATCTTATCTGGTCCCACTCCTGCCCATGACATTCATGTTTTGTCCCGCTCCCGCCCGCAAAAGCCTGCATAAAAGTAATCTATATAGATTTTTTTCAGTACATCGAATAAATTTACATGAAATGGTTCTGTAACATCTCCTAAGCTCCACAACATCCCAGCATAAACACTCCAGATAAAATATTTGTTATTTAGGCTAAGCATCAACATTCACAATCACCACTGCTATTTTTAACAGAAAAGCAAGCATAGGCAAGCATCGGCAGAGTGCGAGCAGCGCGCTTCCTTTATTATCACTAAAAGCTGACATCTCAGTTAATCGCGATCTCATAAAGCTTTGTTATAACACAATAAATATATGCACAATGAATCTTTCACAGTGTCTACACTTTGTGTGTTAAAATGAGAGGATTCGTGAGCACGCAATTTCAGCACTGCAGTGAGATTCTAACTTAATCACCTCTGATTGGCCATTGCGTTCCAGAAATCAACAGCTGAGTCTGTGATTGGCTACATTGCGCAACCCTTTAAACACGTGTTATAAACAGAAACTATGCCTAGCTTGCGCATGTCATTAATTTTAATGTTAATATTAGTTGTACTTTTTGATTTTGTGCAACAGATAAATAACAATTTATATGTTTTAGACACTTTGTGTTTAGATAATTTATATTTTGCGGGAGTCCCGCAAATCATTTTATTCTCCCGCACACACACGAGTCTCTTCCCGCCCGCACCCGCTCTCGCCCATCAAGAGTTGTCCCGCGCCGCACCCTGTTACTCCCGTGGGAGTGCAGGTCTCTAATATACACCTAGGATGGCTTGAGGGTGAGTAAATCATGGGGTAATTTTCATTTTTGGGTGAACTATCCCTTTAAGTGGAATTATTTTTCACAGGGGCATGACTCAGGTAATAAAATTTGTATTTTTTTGCCTTAGCAAACACGAATAATAATATTAATAATAATGATAATATGCAATCTGAAGGAACCTCGTCGATGTCCTGGCAGTGTGTTCCATTTCCAGTCATGCCCTCTGGACAGGGGCCACACTGATATCCTGGGAACATCATGCTCTCCATGCAGCTCACGCCATTATAGCAGGGGTTAGGATGACATCGGGACTGAGGCTCATGGAATCCTGATAAACAGAGAGACACACATACAGATTAACCTCTATACCACAACAATCTTCAGACATGTTTACCAAAACCTGGTCTGCCATCTCCTGTCCAAGCTCTTTCTCCATCCCTTACCACACACTTGACATTCAAGAATGGTGTTTCTGATGAGAGACATCTCTTTTGTCTGAAAACACATCAAAGTAGAAAGAATTTAATTTGATAAAATGCACGGTCCCAATTAGAAACAGAAGTCTGTAATAAAATATGTCCTCCAATCCAAGTGTAATATGCAGAGACAGCTATGGTTAAGTGATTTGTAGACTGGCTTTGTGAAAACTATTCCTGTGAGCCACATAATCTCATATTCAGTTATAGAGCTTCTGAAGACATCCAAGCCAGTTCCTTCATTCGTCCTCATTCATTCATTCCTCTATGGCTTTCTCTTACCTGTTCTCTGATATCCTCTCTCAGCTCTCCCATGATCTGGTTAAAGATGATCAGCTGTCCAATCAGAGCTTTGGTGTGATCACCTGGCCATATCAGAGGCTCTTTTTATTATTATCACAGAGAGCATTACAGGCATGAAAATAATTCAATTGTGATAGTACATTCACATATGATTGAATCTGTGATGATATTTACCGAGGATTGCATTAATGTCACTGCCTACTGTAAAGAAACAACAGTCACATTTGATCAAATGTTTCTAGTTCAAAAACAAATGTATATATTTATACTACTGATCAAAAGTTTGGGGTTGGTAAGATGTTAAGTGTTTTTGAAAGAAGTCATGCTTACCAAGGTGGCATTTATTTGATTAAAAATACTGTAAAAAAAAAATATATATATATATATATATTGTTGCAATTTGAAATAGCTGTTTTCTATTTTAATATATTGTAAAATTTAATTTATTGCTGTGATCAAAGCTGAATTTTCAGCATCATTACTCCAGTCTTCAGTGTCACGTCATCCTTCAGAAATCATCCTAATATGCTGATTTGCTGCTCAACAAACATTTATTATTATTATGTTGAAAGCAGTTGTTGTGCTGCTTCATATTTTTGTGGAAACTGTGGCACATTTTTTGATAAACAGAAAGTTCAAAAGAACATTATTAATTTGAAATTGAAATATTTTGCAACATTATAAATGTATGTATCTTTTGACCAATTTAAGCATCCTTGCTTAATAAAAGTATTACAAAATCTTACAGACCCCAAACTTTTGAATGGTAGTGTGTATCACATTCTCTACATTTCAAGATATTCATCATTTCATTCATTCAAAATTCATGAATTGATTGAAGGACTAATATCTGTGGTATTTATTCATTGTCACAAGAGGGCAGTATGATGACATGGCAATGTTTAGAATGGAATACTATACTGTGCAGAATGTAATTTTTTTTAATACAGTATGTGAAAAACATTACAAGTTCCTCTTATGCTGTAAGAATAGTGCTTACCTGCATTGTTGATAGTTGAATCTCCTTTGAATGGACAGTCAATGAGGAGACCAGCTGTTGCTAAAGAGCCTCCGAGAGCCAGTTTAACAGACTCTACTGAGCCCTAAAGCATATACATATATGAAACAAACATTTATATGTTTTGTTATCCCTCTTCTTGCACACTTCACTGTTTAACACACTGATCATCACTCCTGTGTAAATTTACATCTGTTGCTCAAACAGAGAGTGTGTTTTCAGTCAGGTCTCAATGCAAAAGCAGACATTCATGGTCTGTTACAACAACAGTTGTACTAAACACATTCACTAGGATGTCTGCCCAACTTTGCATATGTATTTAACACAACGATAATTAGTCATTTACATACACTCATACAAAACTCACTATGCAAGGTTATGGGTAGTGGCTAAGGCAGGTGGATTTGACTCAAAAGAGCCCACCTCCGAGTCTCTATGATATTTTGGTCAATTCCACATAACCAAAATTGTCACACATTAAAAAGTACAAAAAGACATTGTAGCATACAGCATAATCCATTTGAATTGTAATCCATATGAGTGGTTTAATCTAAGGCTTCTGAGGAGTATGCATGAATAAAAGTCTAAATTATATCTGTTCATCACATAAAGCGATCTCTTTAGACTTGGATTAAACTGCTCAATGCATATGGATTATGTTTACAAAGTCTTTATAATATCAATGAACATTTTAAGTTTCAGTTGTGTGGACTTTTAATGGAGGGACAGAAATATCTCAGGTTTCACAAAAAAAATATCTTCATTTGTGTTTTTCGTAAAGATGAACAAAGTCTTAAGGGTTTGGAACGATGTGAGGATGAATAAATGACACATTTTCATTTTGGGGTGAACTGTCCCTTAAAATTTTGCTGTACATTTATTTTGATTTACACTGACTGCATGACAAACAATGTTCCTTATTTGTTGACCTAAATTAATCACCTGTATCCTGGCATAAGACTTCTGTCCGGTGCGAACATCCACAGATTCTGCCTTTGATGGAAGCCCGACAAATGAAGGGAGGCCCTGAGCAGAGTCCACCAAACGGCAGTTTACATAAAGCTCTAGGTTTATGTGACTGCGTCTAAGTCCACTCATTCTGAGTATAAGTGATTGGGTGCGTCCCTCAGCGAGGACTGGGTTTTGTAAATTGACAGCATGAGCTTTTCCATCAGAGCGCAAGTATCGCACCAGTACTGAGGAGAGAAAGGAGGTGATCTTTCCAAAGACAGGAATCATAAGCAAAGACTCACTTAAACTACTGAGAACCTACACAGATTGCATTTAGGGAAATGTTTGCAAATAAGACCAAAAAGCATTTAGCCTACATTTGTTGATCTTGCCTACAGCAGCAACCTCCAGGTATTTCTTGTTGTCCTCCTTATCATAGATGCCGAACAAAACGCCGCCGAGTTTGGGTGGCAGCATGAAGGTGGAGGTGATGTACAGATCTCCTACCGTCTGCAGAGCTCCAGACAGACTCTCTATAGCTGCAGCTGTCTGACGTGCATCATGGAGCTCCAATACATTAATCACTGAAAGAGAGGACACATTGTAAGGCTAAGTCACATGCACAGATAACACATGTGCAGTAAGATGAATGTATGATTTTAGGAACGAGAAACGTTTTCAAATGACTTTTTTTCAATTTAGGGGAAATAATAACCCTTACATTTTCAATATATTGTTCAATTTGAAATTCTATGTTCATAGAAACTTTTGACTAGTTGGGACAACTTTTGGAGGATTCTGTTGGACTAACATGGGGTTTTATGTAATTTCATGTAATGTTCTTAGTATTTATGACCAGTGTTGTGGAAAGTTACTTTTAAAAGTAATGCATTACAATATTTCATTACTCCATAAAAAAGTAACTAATTACATTACTTAGTTACTTTTTATGGAAAGTAATGCGTTACGTTACTTTTGCGTTACTTTTTAAATCTGCACAGGGCTTGCTTGTTTGTTTTTAAAATAAAAAAGTTATATTTTTGGCAAATATAAAAGCCTTTTCACACCAAAAGTGAAATGAATAAGCCTCGGGCTGAAGGGAAAGTACATTTACGTCTGTACAGTAGAATGCAGAAGAAGACATTTCAACACACTTCAGCATTAAAAAAAAAGACACACAAATGTTCGTCTAGAGTAATTTGTGCTTATTAGTACGGCTGAACTGGATCATCGAAGGTCAGAAGCAAAGACATTGGTTAATAGAATGGGATTAAATACATAAAGGATATTTGTGTTGTTTAACATTTAATTATTGCAGGTTCGCGTCATATTCTGAGTTGCATTATTTTTATTCATTTTGAGGAATACTGAATCTGTGTTTTTGTTTTTTTGTGAGTGAGATGAATTAATACAAATACTCATATTTGTTTTTGAGCTACAGGAACATCTTCTGATTTCTCTCAGCATGGGGACAGGAGAGCTGTCAGTCAATAAATTGGGGGAAAAAAGTAACTTGCGTTACTTATTTGAAAAAGTAACTCAGATATTCTCTTGTAAATGAAAAAGTAATGCGTTACTTTACTAGTTACTTGAAAAAAGTAATCTGATTACGTAACTGGCGTTACTTGTAATGAGTTACCCCCAACACTGTTTATGACTCCCGCAAACTGGAAACTATGTAGTTACTTTTACAGTGCAAGCCACAAACTAAACTGAAGCTTGCATTATTTCTCCAGATAAAGGACAATTTACATATCGTCTTTTATTTATCTTCTTTATAATTCGTCTGATACGCAAACGCTTGTCATTGGAAGCACATTGACATCATTCAGCCAATTATTTGTTGTGCAAATTATTATTATTATTATTTTAATAATTATGCAAACTGACTCCCGCAAACTGGAAAAAATGTAGTTACTTTTACAGTGCAAGCCACAAACTAAACTGAAGCTTGCATTATTTCTCCAGATAAAGGACATTTTACATATCGTCTTTTATTTCTCTTCTTTATAATTCGTCTGATACGCAAACGCTTGTCATTGGAAGGACACTGACATCATTCAGCCAATTATTTGTTGTGCAAATTATTATTATTATTATTTTAATAATTATGCAAACACTTTGTGCAATAATGTAGAAATTAACTTTTGTTTCTGAACATGCCATAATGACAAAGAAGGACCATTAAAAAAATCTAGGGGGCAAATATTGCCACTTACTAAAAAGTTAGTTTCTGACAATCGTTGTTTTTATGGATAATAGCTTCCATTTGCATGTTATTATCTCAGTGTTTGGGCGCATTGTCTCTGAGCGCTGACTAGGTCGCTGGGGGGAGCATGAAATGAGACAATAAAGGACCATTTGGGTTCGGAATTAACGGTTTAACTGCACAGCTAACTAGACGACCACTTTATATCACCAAGAATGTGAAAGCACTGAACTTACACCATCACTTGTAAGCTAATTGTCACAACCCAAAGGAAGTCCAATGGGGAAAAAAAAAACAAAAAAAAAACAACAACTACAAATCAGAGTTTATATTACATTTTAAGATGTACTGTGTGATTCCAAATAAAAAGCCCACCTTTAAATTCCGACGATTCGGAGAAGTGTCCAAACGCAGCATAAAGGACAAGCAGGCTTGGTACAATTTCCCTCAGTTCCATCCTCCAGCAGATATTGTTTAATAAACCGATTAGAATATAATCCAGTTAAATTCCCGTTTCCCAAAGACACGAGCAGCTCAAAGCGTCCAAGAGCTTCATAACATCACATAAACCCGCTGACCGGTTTGACCTGAGCGGCCCTGAGAGGGTGAGTCTGCGGGTCCTCTGAGACTCTGCAGCGCTCAACACTTTCTGTCCCAGATGAGAAACAGAAGTTGAGCTGCAGGGGGAGAGATAAAGAGCCTTGTCAATCAACTTACAAGTATTTATTGGAGCTCTCTCCCGCTGCGTCTTCATTCCTGCCCTGAGCTCGTCTCAGATTGAATTTCACAGCGCAAATGAAAATATCTTTTGACAGTTTTTGTTTCGGAAAACTACAAATAAATCTACTGAGTTTGGATTTTTGTGAATGAAGCATAGCCTATAGACGACAACCTGAGTACAAAATAAAGCTATGAGAAAGTTTGGATAATTTTGAGGGCGAAATCCGTTGAAGCTCATTTCGCTTGTCTTATTTATTAATTAATTTACTTACTTATTTACTTACCTACTTGTGTTTTAAATTGTTAAATGACATTAAAGGGATAGTTCACTCAAAAATGAAAATTACCCCATGATTTGCTCACCCTCAAGCCATCCTAGGTGTGTATGACTTTCTTCTTTCAGACAAATACAATCTGAGTTATATTTAAAAATCTCCTGGCTCGTCCAAGCTTTATAATGGCAGTGAATGGGTGTTGAGATTCAATAGTCCAATAGAAGTCCAATAAAGTGCGTTCATCCATCATAAAAAGTGCTCCACGCGGCTCCGTGTAAAGGCCTCCTGAAGCGAATCGATGCATTTGTGTAAGAAAAATACCCATATTTAAAACTTGTAATCAGTAATCTCTAGCTTCTACTAACTGTCATATGCACGTTCACGAGAGAGTGGCGTTCCAGCGGATGACGTAGGCGTAGCGTAAGCTCCGTGAGAAGTGGCGAAAGCGGAAGAGAAGCAGAGAGAGCAAAACAAAACACCGGTCAAAACGAGGATTTGTAAAGGAAAATGCCAGAGGACTGTAACATGCCAAGAGGAGACAGACTGGTTTTCCTTTGCTAAACAAAGGAAACTTTGATTGCTTTGCTCCTGTAAACAGAATTTGGTTCTCGCGAGACAAGCACATTCTCGCCGGACCTTACGCTACACTTACATTATCCGCTGGAACGCCACTCTCTCATGTACGCACCTACGACAGTTAGCCGAAGTTAGAGATTACGGTTTATAAAGTTTTAAATATTGATATTTTTCTTACAAAAACGCATCTATTCGCTTCAGGAGGCCTTTATTAACCCCCAGGAGCCGTGTGGAGCACTTTTTATGATGGATGGATGGATGCGCTATATTGGACTTCTTTTGGACTATTGAAAAATAACACCCATTCACTGCCATTATAAAGCTTGGAAGAGCCAGGACATTTTTTAATATACGTAACTCCGATTGTATTTATCTGAAAGAAGAAAGTTATATACACCTAAGGTTGAGGGTGAGCAAACCATGGGGTAATTTTCATTTTTGGGTGAACTATCCCTTTAAGCTTATTTTAATATTTTGTCAATGTTTTGTAGCGTCTACTAAGCGAAACTAAGGGAAACCGTACCTGTTAGCTCACTGTTGCTATGGTTACCTACGCAGCACTAGCTTTTGTTTGGCGCCAAAATACACGCTTTGACTAACTCGTAAATAGGCCATGCGAATGAATGAATGAAAACACAACAACTTATTGATTAGCCTACATGTCAATTAAAACGTTGCAGTATTTTAACAGGGATGTCGCTAGCTAGGAGGCCTAATGCAATAAACTGTACAAGGGGTCCAGAAAACCTAGCAACTGCATTTAAGGACCTTTTATTTTCGGGACGGGGCAAAGGTAACGGTGTGTATATACTTGACTTGACAAATGTGGAAATGACTAAATGTAATTACATTACAAACCTTATCAAATGGATCTGCATATACTGTAATATGGACATATGAACACAGATGTCCTATTAGTCACCACACGTCTAGTTCATCACATTAACTATGCACGTGTTCCACTAAAATCTGCAAAACAGAAGGCCACCAAATAGCTATATATATCTCATTTCATAATTTGAATCCTAACAAACTTGAAATGTGCTCCTTGGAGAGTTATCTTTCTTTAAAACACATGCCACTTAGTTTAAGATTCAACGCAACTTCATAAACATGACAAAAATAGTTTAGTAAAACAGCTCTGCCATCGATTGCTTCAACCAAACTGAGAGTGACCTTGGTTGACCCACCACTGTGGTAGCAATGTTGAGTCTTTCTACTGACATCTGAAACACACTTAAGTTACATACAAGACACAGACATCTCAAAACCCAGGGAAAGTGGGCGGCAGCCATTTTCAACTAAATGTTGAACTTGACGCTACACACACAGCAGCATAATTGGAACAAGTCTACCAAAACAAATTCTGATTAAGATATATATGAAGCTTATAGAACAATAATAAAGTTAAACATACGCAAGCTGTGTAAACAACCCTCTTTATCCTATGATATTGGACACACTGATGACCTGATGTTCTTAATGCTGAAAGAATCCAGAAAAAAAGAAAATGGACTTCAAACTGAAGTTGTTATAACTGTTAAATACGGCTTCAAAGTACACTCATGTTGATTCCTTTTTATTATTTATAGACTAGCAAAATACAGAAGATGAACAGCAGCATTTAAGTTTGAATGCATTGTGCATTTACAGTTGCACCAGTGACTGACAGTAAAAGTGGAAACCTCTTTGAGAAGCAAACAAAATGGACAACCCCAGTGTGCCTTGGGTTTCCGGTGAGAGACTGGGACGGAGAAGCACAGCTGTATAATGGCCACAGACTCTGATGTAAATGCAATGTTTGGCATGAAATAATAAAGTTGTCCTCAGCAGTTCTCAGGAGAGCTTTAAAATCTGGCTGATTTATAAAGCTCTGGGTCTTTTGTCGTCAAAGAGCTCCTAAATTGTTGGTTTAGGATAAGAAGTCTGACAAGTTCACTCTGCGTGATTCCTGCATTGCGTTGGAAACATTAATATAGCTTGACAGTATGTTTAGTCAGCAGGACAGCATATCAGGTCACTGCAACAAATTAATGTAATATTTACACGCTTGTCTAAAAGTGTTGAAGCGTAATGGTGCAGCTGTTAATGTTTCTACCTAATGGTATTCCTAATTTTCAGTCTGTTTCCCCCTTATGAAAATTAGCCATGGTTTTACTACAAATAAAACCAAAAAAACATGTTTTTTGTTGTTAAACCATATGGTAGCCACAAATTAACCATGGTTTTGCTAAACTAACCATAGTTTAACCATAGTATTTGTAGTAAAACTAAATGGTAATCAATCTGCCTAAAAAACATGGTCACTACACTTTTACTATAATAAAATCATGGTTAATTTTTGGAAGGGCCATGATGATGTATATATGATGTATACAAGCATGGATTGCTATGTGAAAAGTAGTACTGATAAAATGGAGCACAGACCAATTTTTTTCATATTAGTTTTTGTCTTTTTAAAGGGGTCCTATTATGCTCTTTTACAAGTCTTGATTTTGTTTTTGGGGTGTACTAGAACAGACTCTCATACTAGGTTGTTCGAAAAACACATTGATTTTCACATATTTTACATTATTACAACACCTCTATCCCCAGTCTGGCATAAATGACTCGAATAGTTCCTGTATCAAATGAAGGCCCGCCTTCTGACATACGAAATGTGCTGTGATTGGTTAGCTGGGCCAGTGTGCGCTGTGATTGGTTAGCTGGGCCAGTGTGCGCTGTGATTGGTTAGCTGGGCCAGTGTGCGCTGTGATTGGTTAGCTGGGCCAGTGTGCGCTGTGATTGGTTAGCTGGGCCAGTGTGCGCTGTGATTGGTTAGCTGGGCCAGTGTGCGCTGTGATTGGTTAGCTGGGCCAGTGTGCGCTGTGATTGGTTAGCTGGGCCAGTGTGCGCTGTGATTGGTTAGCTGGGCCAGTGTGCGCTGTGATTGGTTAGCTGGGCCAGTGTGCGCTGTGATTGGTTAGCTGGGCCAGTGTGCGTTGTGATTGGCAGCACTCGGCGCCTGGTCGGGAAATGTCACTGTATGCGTTGTAGTCCAAATGAGTCGTCCGTTGTAGTTTTTGAAAAGTGATTTCTGTTAAATAAAATATCTCCTTTTGAAGTGGACTTTGAGCTTTGTAACTTTGCAGATCTTTTTTTATGCTCAAACAGCAACATTACAGACTAACTTAAGTTGAAAAAGTGAAAAAGCATAATAGGACCCCTTTAACATTTAAGATAAATGTTACCCAGATGGAGTGGCATGTTTACTTGAATGCAGATCAGAAGATAAAACACAACACTGTGAGACATCTTTTAATGACCTGAAAATCAAGTCAAAATTCCTGCCTGTGCAAGACCTGACAAAATTACAGATCACAACTATTATAGTAACAATTATATTAACAATAATTAAAAGCACCAATATGGGGCTTGCTTGAGGCTACATCAAGTGAGCGATTCTGTTAGAGCGCACACGTGCATGATGGGAGATTATAAAGAACTGAGGTAATAGTGTGTGCAGCTTCACTCTGAATGGCGGGTGAGTGATAATTTGCGCTTGTTGTCCCTTGTGACTCCCATCCCATGCTTCCTTCTCTACTTAGTCCTCATCTTCTTCATCTCCATCATCATGACCTGAGTTCTTCAGCTGTGGCTGCTCACGCTTGATCGTAACCATCCTGGTGAGGATGGCGTAACCCAGCATGGCTCCCACAGCGAATAGAACCGACAGAATCTGGTTACGCCGCATGTGGGGCTCGTTGTCGAAGTCACTGCTATCAGGCTGAACATGAATCTTGCGACCTGGTGCCTCTAAAAAAGGAAAGTATACAGTTTCAGTAAAAAAAGCTTAGGGTTAGTTGAGTCCTCTCTTTATATGAACAAAACTCAGATCCCTTTAAGTGGGCCAAAAAGTAAACAGAATTAAAGGAACCCCATTCACATTAACCCAGGTCAAAAAAGATGGCTCAGATATAATTTTAGTTCATTCAGTTTAGTTTTCATTCACATCAAA